CCTCTCTCTCCCCTGCCGTGACTATTCACCGGCCTCGGGAAGAAGGCTGGGTCAGATTGGAAGGTCCTAGACACTCTTCAGATGCGGCAGAGAAAAGTTTAAGGGATTTGCCCGCTCAAGCTGCGGGGTAAATGGCCCACGGGCTGATTTATGGCGCGTTACTGCGCGACGCGATTCCCCAAGACAGCGAGAATATTTTACACCGCGCTAATATAAACAGGCGGCCGGCCGGGTCCTTTTTATGGAGTTCCTGTAATTACCCGCGCCCTGACAGGTCCTTGATTTACGGCCCTATTTAGATAAGAGGTCCGGTGCGGGGATTGCTGGTGGCGTCAAGGTCACAAGACTCGGAGGCGGGAGAAGGTTTGCGGTAGGCGCCGGTGCGGGCTCTCTGAGGTCTGCCAGTCCCTTGGGTGGGAGTGAGGGGAGAAGTGAGGCAAGGGCTGGGAGAGGGGCCTCCAGGCAGAGGCCCCAGTCACTCTGGAGGTATGAGACTTGAAGAAAGAGGGTCCACTGCCCAGCAGGGTGGCTCAGTGGTTGAGCATGGAGGTCAGAGCTGAGTTTTAGTCAATATGCGCGGGTTGCAGCCTCGATCCCCAGTGTGAGGTATGCAGGAAAGGAGGTGGATCAATGATTTTCTCTCATCATTGATGTTTCTACTTCTCTCTCCCTCTCCCGCCCTTTATGAAGTCAATAAAATATAAATCAATAAAAAATATATAAAGAGGGTCCACTCTACAGGTGGGGGAACTGAATCCTGGAGGATGCAAGACTATCCCAAAACAAACAAACAAATCACAGCGAGTGAAATGGAGGTGGGTGGGATCTGGAATGGAATTCAGGTCTCTGGCAGCATCATCACCACACCTGGCGATGCCTTTTTTTTTTCCAGCTGATGAGAGTGGGGTTCTGTAGGGTCAGTGGGGAAAGAGGACTCAAGGTGGTAAAAAACAGGCCCGATCAGATTGGAATAGAGAGCTGCTCCATCACACCCAGGACGATGTAATCGTGTGGATATGTGACTCCATTTCTTCCCCTGTGAAATTAATTCCTAAAAACAGTCTACTGTTCCTGTGCTGAGAGCTTCACCTATATTATTTCCCTTAATCTTAAACCAGCCCTCTTGACAGCTATTCCTCACCAGCCTCCAGCCCCCAATTTAGGGAGGAGGAAACAAGATCTGAGTAGAGGAATGACAGTTCTGTCTGGGTTTCAACCCAGGTGGGCCCAATCCCACTGCCAGGCTTTCTTCAACACTCCTTTAATACAATTTCCAACCTCTATGTGCTTAAACTCTCTAACTTATCAAATGAGGTGAGAAGTTCTTGTCCAACCTCACCAGCACAATTGGAGAAGGAAGCACATGTTTGATAATGCTCTGAGCACCAGACCTTCTGAAGTTGCTATCTAGGTGAGCACCACAGAGGGGAGGCAGGGCAGGGGAGACTGAGACTGGCGGGCAGGACCTCCGAGTCCCTAGTCCTTGGTCTACAGATGTGGGCCCAGGGACAGTGGAATCCTCTCTCGGGCCAAGTGCTAAATTGGAGTGTGGGGAGAGGGAACTAGGGCTGGGAATTACAGACTATCGATCCTATCCCCTTCTGAAAAGAGAGAAATTGAGGCTCTGAAGAGGGAAAGGAATACTGAGGTGATAGTCAGAGCCAGAACTCTTGTTCTCAGCTTAAAGCAATTCTGGTCAAACTCCTGGGTCCCAGCCTCTCTCCCTGCCCCTCTGCAGGGAACACCCTCACCAGGTCCCCATCATCCCATTCCTCTGTACTCCAGATGCGCCGAAGTCAGGCTGGAGTTAAAAGTGCCTTGGGGGCTCCCAGAAGGCCGGGTTTGAAGCCTAGGCGCCTTGTGGTCTATGCAGGCACTGGAGCTCTCCCAGGCGTCCATCCTGCAGGAGACCGCCCAGCCCGGCCTAGCCTGGAGTCCCGGTGGATTCCCTAGGGCCTCACTCTCGGAGCAGGCACCACTCATCCGAAAGACTTCGAATCCTTAACAATCTTTGAGGGAAGAGGGGAGGGAGGGAGCAGCTCTTTTTGGGTCCCAGGTGGCTGGGAGCACCCTGCTCTTTAAGCACCTACCTGTGCATGGGGTGGGGGAAGCAGGGCAATCTTGGGGCCCTCAAGGGGTCTGATGGAACTGGGACTCATCACCTAGTACTGATAATGTATTCCTCATCCCACTAAACAGGTGGTGTTGTGTAACCACAGGAAAAGGATTGGGACACATGGATGGGTGCTGGAGCATGAATTTGTGAGTATGTGGATAATTGTGTGTGCCTGTGTGTGTGTGCCTCATTCATGTGCATACTATGATAATATGCATACTATTATTCAACTTTACTTCATCAATGTGTGCACATGGCTATGTAAGACAGAACAGATGTCGAACTGAGTGTGTGTCAGTGTGTAATGTGCAAACATGTGAAAACATCTATTTCTGAGCACCTGTGCATATATAGTAGTAATCATGGCGGTGTACTTGTGTGTGTTTGTGGGACTGAAGGTTTAGCTGTGACACTGAGAATACACAAAATGCATGATGCAGTTTTTGGACGTTTGTGCTGTGCATATAATTGTGGGGAAATGTAAGGAAATACAAACTGCACCCATGCACAATGGTGGCATAAGACGCTGTGCAGCACCCTACAGTGGTGTGTTATTTATGTGGAATGTGTGTGCCTCTACTGGAAGATGGTGTCTTATGCATGCCCACACGAAGCCTTTGGAGTGGCTCAGCTGCAACCTATCTGCATGGGGATGTGTGCCCGTGGGTGGGTGACAGAGAGATAATGTGTGAAATCCTGAGAATGCATGAATATTGAAATGCTGTCCTGTGTGGGTGTACCTGTGTTATCCTGAGAACACACATACTTTTGGACATATGGACCTCTGTGTATGCGGGTGAGTTTGGGTGATCCGCTGTGCATGTACGTGTGCATGTGTAATCTTGGGCTGGGTGTGCCACACTGAGAGTCTCTAAGTGAAGATCCTGCCTGGATTAGGACAAAGACTGGGTGTGTGTTGAAGACTGAGGTCCTTCTCCACGTAGTAATTACTCTCCCTACCTGACACGCTCAGGAGAGCCTCCACGCCAGGGAGGCGCGGGACCCCGCAGAGCCGAGGTGGATTTGGGCGCCGGGCGCTCCCTCCCCTTGAACCTCTGGCTCTGCTGGGCCCAACCCCAGTGCTGCTGGCGCCAGGCGCCCGGAGAGCGGCGGGTTTCCAGCAAGCCTCAGGCAGGAAACTAGGACTTCCCTCCCCCCATGCACCTCTAGGGCCCACAGCCCTAGGGGACCAGGGGAACTGGCCAGCCGGTCCCAGCCCTTTCCATTTACTCCCTTGTTCAGGAGAGGAAACAACACAGTATCCACTGGCTATGGGAAGCAAGGAAAATCGTTCATCTCTGAGCCTCACTTTTTCTGTCTGTTCAGGAAAGAATTGGCCTTTCCCCCTCTGCCTTTGGACTAAGTGTGCCAGGCACTTAGCGGGCACCAATAAATTACTAAATGAACGGGTAAAGAAATGAATTTGTCCTCTAAAAAGAGCAGCCACATATTGCTCTTCCCCGCCTTCCATCCTCACCTCCACACTGGTTTTGAGAGTTGGGCTCACTCCCTCTACCCCACCCAGGGAAGGGGGGCTGGGAAAGGTGGGCGAGGTGGAGGGATCCAGGTAGGAGGACATTAGCTGGAAGCTACTGCAACGGGAGGTAAGACAGAGAACCCAGCCAGAAGCGCCAACGCCCTGGGAATTCCAGGTCCGAGCGGAGCCCAGGGAGAGCCTCCTGAGCAGAGACTGGGACAGGCCCTGGCCTGAGGGGAAATAGCGGAGGTCCGAACAGCGTCATTGTGGTGCGTTTCGAGGGTGCGCTCCTCCCGCCGAGGGAGCCTGGCGGCCAGTGTGGATGTCCTCGATACGTGTACACCGCTCATTTCTCGCGGTGTGAGCCTTGGCACTGGCGTCTTCTACAGAATCGAACATTCTCGGCGGAGTAGTCGGACGCGAGCCGGCTCGTTGCGCGGAGAGGCGGCAGTCGCCACAGTACAACCGACTTGGCTGGAGTCGGCGGGCGCAGGACCCGTGCGGAACTGCTCCCACTCCGGCGGGATGGGGCTCGTGACTGGGGTGCCTGGGGAGGAACGCCAGGGGCCTACCCTGCCTCCACAGCCATCCCTCATCTTCTGCCTCTGACGCCAAGGGGAGCAGTGGAGTTCGGGACTGGCGACCTCTGGGATTCCCGTGTTAAATTCTGGAGGGTCAATAAGAACCTTTCTTTCTCTGGCCCTGTTTCCCTGTGTGAAGTCAAAGGGTGGGCTCTAGAAGGCCTTTTCGCAAGATGACTCTAGATTTTCCCCCTTGGTTTTGGGGGAGCGGGTGGCAACCACCTTTCAGGGCGCTGCCAGGCCTGTGCCTCGAGTCCGCTGCCCCTGCCTCCCCCGCCCCAGCCCAGCACCGGGAGGGGG